TCTAGCACGCTTTCTGCAGTTAGTTCATTTGGGTCACCATCTTGATATCTGTCTGTTAAATCAGTAAACCGACGACCATGTGGTGGTGCATCACCGATATGAATAAGAACGCGAGTGGCATTGCTCCATGTCATCTGAGTTATCGCTGCATCAAGACCACCTAAGACATCTTCTGGTTCATCACAGCCACCAGCAGCCACCACTTTAGTGGTTATATATTTTTTAAATTTCTCTAGAGAGTTAGTAAAATCAAAAATCTGTAAACGACGATCGCCATCGCCGTAATCACGATAGCCACAGAAACCAATCCAGAATTTGATATTTGAATTATAGATGTTTACGTAACTAGCCACTTTTATTATGTGTTCTTTCGCTGCTGTGATGTGACTTTGCATAGAATTTGTACAATCTAGAACGAAGCAAAGATCAACGTTCATTGAATCTTCAATATTAGTAATTGCTTTTGATACATCATTTTCTCTATTTTTTCTTAAATATGTAACTCTGTCTATTAATGTTGATGTACTACTAACTTGACCTGCTTCATCTTCGTAGCGTCTGAGACGTTCTTCTAAGAGTTTATTATTACCTATAGGCGATCCTGGAATGCTTTCAGAATTGCAAATGGTAGTATTTTTATTCTTTTTTATAAACCGTGTTCCAAAACAACATAACATAATTTTCATGTGTTAAATTAGAAAAACCTTGTTCTTATTATTCGGAGCGTTTGAAGTAAATTTCAGAATTTATCTCCGATCATCTGATGACCTATCTGCGTTTTGCGTAACATATACATCAACAGATCTGCAAATCCGATATATTTTCACAAATTGACGGAATTATGTTTGAAAATTTTTGCTTGAAATCTTAGTCATATTATATAGCATTTCTTAAAGGGTAGAGGTTGGAACCGGGTTTATTTTCATTAACTGGTTTTATTAACTTTTTGAAAATTACAGACGAACACAAATCGGTCATATTATATCCATTTAAACGGTTATATTTATCCGGTTAAATTCGAATAATCGGTTATATTACTACTAGGGATGGCAACAGCATAGCGGGCTTTAAATCTCATAGGAAGAAGTTCGTCTGATTGGCTGATGCACATCAATTGCCCGGGTAACTTATTTATACGTTTTAAAGTACTTTTCAGGAACTTAATGTTTTACA